CCTCAACCTCCGTGGAAGGGCAGTTCCCCCTGGCCACATTCCCCACTTCCGCAGGGGAGCGGCACACCGCCGGCCGGCTCTCTCGGGGGCTGCACAGGTGTTCCTCTTAGATGTTCCTGGTGCATGCCGTCTCTCTCCTCCTTTATAGTCCTCCTCCGCCAATCCTAACTCGGCTGCCCACATGCCGAGTATGCTGCTCTCCAATCAGGAGTAAGTCCTACAGTTTATTGGTTGAACTGGAGGCAGCTGTGCGGAAGCTGTTTACTTCTCTCCCAGCGCCATATTGTGGGAGAGCAGATGCATAGAATAAGTCTTAATTCCAGTAACTCAGTCCAGTCCGGGCTGCTCCCCACAGATCCCCCTTTCTTTTTATTTTTTGGCGTTGATACGCGCCTGTCTTCGGTGTCCCGCGGCACATACTCTGCTCTACTTGCTAGAGTTGCCACAGGTTCTTACAAGTCCTATCAATCAGGCAAACCGAATCCGGGTCCTCTCTTCGCCATGTTATGAGGAGGTTTTTAGGTGCTGATGCGTGCCTGTGTTCGGTGCCCTGCAGCGCATGCTCTGCTCTGCCTGCAGGGGCTTACAAGCCCTAACAATCAGGCAAACCGAATCCAGGCCTTCTCATTGCCATATTGTGGGGGAGACTTATTAGTGTTGGTTCGTGCCTATCTTCGGTGACCTGCAGCTTGTAAGTTGCTAGCCGCCCGCAGGTGCTCATCGCCTCACTTAATCAGGCAGACCGAATCCAAGCTTTCTCGTTGCCATGTTGAGGGGAGGCCTTTCTATTTCTCTATTTCTCTATCTCTGGGCATTCCTATTTCTCCCATTTTACTTCTATCTTCCAGCATTCCTATTTCTCTCACTTTACTTCTAAACTTCTGTTTCTCTTATCCCTGCAGCTTCCCGGCGCCTCGCCCTGCCGGCAGGCTCCCGGCTCTGCGCGCACGCTCCGCGGTCTCCACGCACTTCGCGCCCGCACCACGGCCTCGCGCCAGCTCCGCGTTCCCTATCTATTCACGCCCCGTGCTCTCTCTGCATGCGGCGGCTTCCGCGAATGTTTCCGCCACCACCGGCATTCAGTCCAAGTTCCCCGGACTAACCTGGCGAATCCTGGCGGCCCACGTCTCTGCCTCTGGTTCCAGATCTTCGCCTCTTGCTCCCCGGGGTGACTTGAAGAATTCCAAGGTGGCTTATGTCTCCGCCTCGGCCTGCACTCGCGGCTTCATCCTCCCTAACATTTTTCTCTACCCGGTATGTTTCCTTAAGTTTTCTTCCAACAATATTCCTCTCATTTCTCCTGGCTACTCCCCACAGTCCGTATCCGAGTCCAAGCCTCCTCTAGGTTTCACTTTCGCTTTCAATCTCCTAGCTTCTTCCGGCACCTTTTCCATCCAGCTTTTCCCTAGGCTGTTTGCTAGTCTCTCTCTCCGGTATTTTCCCATTTCTTTCCTCCTAAGTTTCCTATCCGTCCTAGGTTTCCTATCCATCCTAGGCTTCATATCCGAGTCACGGCACCATTATGTTGCTCCCCCTCTTCGTGGAGGAACGACACAGGACCCTGCGCTGTTCTTTCGTCTGCTCGGCCCTCCCCGGGTTTGCTGCTGGTTCTTCCCGGGTTGGCTACCGTCCCTCAACCTCCGTGGAAGGGCAGTTCCCCCTGGCCACATTCCCCACTTCCGCAGGGGAGCGGCACACCGCCGGCCGGCTCTCTCGGGGGCTGCACAGGTGTTCCTCTTAGATGTTCCTGGTGCATGCCGTCTCTCTCCTCCTTTATAGTCCTCCTCCGCCAATCCTAACTCGGCTGCCCACATGCCGAGTATGCTGCTCTCCAATCAGGAGTAAGTCCTACAGTTTATTGGTTGAACTGGAGGCAGCTGTGCGGAAGCTGTTTACTTCTCTCCCAGCGCCATATTGTGGGAGAGCAGATGCATAGAATAAGTCTTAATTCCAGTAACTCAGTCCAGTCCGGGCTGCTCCCCACAGGGAGGTTTTACTACTTTCTTTCTAATGTATAGTTCCTTCTTTCCTTCCTCTCTTTTTTCTTTCTTTTCCTTCTTTTCTTCTCTTTCTGATTTTCTATTTCTTTCTCTTTCTTTCCCCCTTCTATTTTCTTTCTATTCTCTTTCTTTCTTTTTCCTTCCCTCTCTTCCTTCTCTCTTTTTTCCTTCTCTAACCTCTTTTTCGCTTTCTTTTCTTTCCTCCCTTTTCTTTCCTTTTCTATTACAGTGAGTGGCTAGAACTTCCAGTACCATATTCAGTAATAGTGGTAAGAATGAAATCTTTGCCTGCCCCTGATCTTAAGGGGAAACATTCAGTCTTTCTCTCTTAAGATATTAGCTATAGCTTTATTGTAGATGGTCTTTATCAAGTGGTGACAACTCCATGCTGTTCCTAACTTGAAGAGAAGCCTTTTGTTTTGTTTTAATAATGAGCTGATTTGGATTTTGTAGATCCATTTTTATGTCAGTTGACATCATTACTCTGATTTTTCTTCTTTAGGTAGTCAATATGATGGATTACATTTATTAATTTTCAAATATCGAGCCAGTCTTATATACCTGGGACAAATTCCACTTGGTTATGATGTATAATCTTTTTACAAATTATTAATGTGGATTACTAATATGTAATTGAAGATTTTTTGCACCTAAGTTCATGAGATATATTGGCTATAGTTTTTTTCTTTTTTCTATTTTCATTTTATTTGGAAAGCTGAAAAACAGACAGAGAGATCTTTCATCTGATGACCTACTTCTCAAATGCCTGCAGTAATCAGGGGTGGACCATGGCAAAACCAGGAGCCAGGAACTCAACTCATATCTCCCTAGTACTTGGTGTCTCCCAGGGTATGTTTTAGTAAGAAGCTGTATTAGGAGCTGAAGACCTGGGATCAGAACCAGGTGCTCCAATATAGGGTGTGGGCATCCCAAATAGCATCTCAACTGCTGTGGCAAACACTCACCTTGTAGTTTTTCCTTTAACTTTTAAGTACATTTCCTTTGTCTGATTTTGGTATCAGGTTAATACAGGCCTCATGAAGTAAGATGGAGAGTGTCCATTCCTCTTCTGTGATTTGCAAGAAGTGTGTAAAGTTGGAGTTAATTCTTTTTTGAATGCTTGGTGACATTCTCTAGTGAAACCAAATGGGCCTGGAGACTTCCTGTTTTAGAGTTTTCAAATTATGGCCGGCGCCACGGTTCACTTGGCTAGTCCTCCGCCTGTGGCGCTGGCACCCCGGGGTTCTGGTCCCGGTTGCGGCGCCGGATTCTGTCTCTGTTGCTCTTCTTTCAGTACAGCTCTCTGCTACGGCCCGGGAAGGCAGTGGAGGATGGCCCAGGTGCTTGGGCCCTGCACCCGCATGGGAGACCAGGAGGAAGCACCTGGCTCCTGGCTTTGGATCAGCGCAGCGTGCCGGCTGTAGTGGCCATCTGGGGGGTGAACCAATGGAAAAGGAAGACCTTTCTCTCTCTCTCTCACTGTCTAACTCTGCCTGTCCAAAAAAAAAAAAAAAAAAGAAAGAAAGAAAGAAAAAAAAAGAAGAGTTTTCAAATTATACAATACAGTTATTTTCATTAACACACTATCGTGATATATAATTTTATCATTAAGTCAATTACATAAAATACAACTTTATATGTTTATATAGCTTTATAATCTCCAAATGGAGTTTCTTGTTTTAATTGTTTCTTACTTTACCAGAGGAAGACTGCCAGAGAGGACAATGCCCCAACATTGCACGTCGCCTGACCCCAGCCTGCTCTTTTCCTTTCCATTCCTTTGGTGATTTCAGTTAGGGCTGGGGAGGTCAGGAGGCTTCCCTTATGGATGTTCCAGGTGTCTCCTCCCAGGGCCAACCCTGGGTCTGAAGGTGAGGTGGAGGTGCATCTTCAGGGTCCCACATTTGAGGAGAGGCAGGGGGAACCAAACAAGGTGTTCCCAGCAACCTCTATCCCCTTGTGGTCACAGGACTTGGTAACAAACAGCAGGTGTCAATATGGAGACAGGCACAGAGATGAAAAGTCTCGGGTGAGGGCCCCAGCCCCACCCCCATGCTACACTGTTGATGTTATCACTCTGACTGCAACAGCAAAGGGAGGCAGGTGTTGGTGTTAAAAGAAGCATGTGAAGGAGGGAAGAGAATCCCATCACATAGGTCTGGACTGCACCCAGGGGTTACCTGTGAGGATCAGCTTTGGGCTTCCTGAAGTCCTTATGAGTGCAAGTTCAGTTTGCAAGCCTCCTCTCTTCCACATGAATTGTTGGCCAACTGTGTGCCCACACCTCTGTGAGCAGATGCCGGTGTCCCAGGCTGGCCTAAAATAGGGCCCTGCAGTTTTCCTGGAGTGGGGTCTCCCAGTTGGTCTGGTGCCCCTCTAGGCTGCACTCCCTCCATTCAGACCTGAGTCTGCACTTCCCAGCAGGCAGCTGATGCCCCACTTGGCCTTGTTGGGTGACATCAAGGGATGTACTTTGGTACCAAAAGGTGGCAGCAGCAGGAGAGGGATTTAAGTTGAAGCCAGCAGGAATCTGCATGGGTTTGCCATATAGGGGAGGGAGGCCTGGGTTTATCAATTTGCCTAAAGTCAACTAGTAAGTGACAGAGTCAAGGCCAGGATCCAGGTCAGTCTGACATAAGAGTCAAAGAAATGTGCTTCTGTTTCCTCCTTTGTGCAATGGAGACACTAGTGGTCCTTCTTATCAATATGGTCATGAGGATTATGTGAAATAATCATGTAGCAATCTTACACATGGTCTAGAGAGGATGTGGTAAGGACTTGCACAATGTTAACTATTGTTATTATTACTATTAACTTGCGATTTTATCACCTAAGTTGGAATTTTAATGATGATAGTAAGAACTTAGCCTGAACACAAGAAGGAAGCAGGAGTTGTATCTGACTCATAAACACCGGAAGACTTGCACCAGACATACTCTGAAGCTGGGGCATGCCCACTGTGAGCCCTCTTGTCATTCTGTCTGTCTACCTTGATCCCAGATGGAGTGGCCATTCTGCCTGCCCCTTCGAACCTCTCAGTACACTCAGCCAACATGAAGCATCTCTTGGTGTGGAGCCCAGTGGCCTTGCCTGGAGAAACAGTGTACTATTCTGTCCAGTACCAGGGGTGAGTGCTCTGTTTTTAAAGTAGCTCTTCTCCCTTCATCAGCAACGGGTTCTTGGAGGCCCAACTCTTCCTTCTCAGCTGAACGAGGCTTTCTGAGCCCGTGAGTAGGTCATCTCCAGTGTCCTGGGGCCTCTGGCTGCAGGGGCTTTGGGAGAGTTGAAGAAATAAGGGACATTTTCTTTTGGATTTGACAGTGATCTCTCTGGGACCACAAATAGTTTAGACACATTTTGGTATAAGTTTTCAACAGTGAGCCACTGTCCAATGAGTTTGACTCTGAACTGAGATGGATAAGCAGAGACTCAAATCATCTGGGGGCTGGGAGAGACCTTAGTTTCGTGGACTATGATCTTATACCTGAGAGCCAAAACAAACTGTGACACCATGGGTCAGCTGGCCTTGGGGCAAGCAGGCTCTCCTCTTCTCTAGGTATTTAGGTGCTTGCAGCTGTTGAGGAGTGACAAGGACACAAGGTGCACAATTTATTTCATTACCAATGAATACAAACTGAGCACCGGTATGTGTGGACCCTCTTCTAGGCTCAGGACTACAGCTGACACCTGGATATAGGAAGCTTACATATGGAGGAGGCTTTAGACAGGAAGTCCCCTAGGTCTGCGTGGCATCTGTGGCCTTTGTGGCTATAAAAAGTTAAATCAGTTAAAAGCAATTACTTCCTTAGTCACACTAGCTACATTTAAGGTGTTCCGTAGCCATATGTAGCTAGTGGATACCATATTGAAAAACATAAGCCTTAAGTCAAAACATAAATCAGCAGATCATGACATGGAAGTGGAACTTTTCCATCATCAGAGAAAGTTCTGTTGGGCAATAGTGCTCTAGGCCATTTCCGATACTGATCAGTGCTAGGACAGAGCTGAAAGGCTGATGAGATAGAGTTGACTCAGCAGCTCCTTTTTTTTTTTTTTTTGACAGGCAGAGTGGACAGTGAGAGAGACAGAGAGAAAGGTCTTCCTTTTGCCGTTGGTTCACACTCCAATGGCCGCCGCGGCCGCCGCGCTACAGCTGGCGCACCGCGCTGATCCGAAGGCAGGAGCCAGGTTCTTCCTCCTGGTCTCCCATGGGGTGCAGGGCCCAAGCACTTGGGCCATCCCCCACTGCACTCCCGGGCCACAGCAGAGAGCTGGCGTCTCAGCAGCTCCTTTACAGTGGTCAGGAAGGCCTCTCTGAAGAGGTGATGTTTACATCACAGCTCTAGGACAACAAGAGCAGGCACTGAACAACAGCAGCAGAACAGCTATCTGGTCAAAGGTCCTAAGGCAGAAAGAGCTGACCGTGTGGGGAAGAGCATCATGCTTACAGGCAGGGTGCGGCAGAGTCCCGTAGGCCATTGGAAGAGTCTGGATTCCATTAAAGGGCTACAGGAAGTGACTAAGGAGAGAAATGTCATGGTCTGCTGACTATGAATGGTCTGAAGAATGGCCAGTGTGGAAGCTGGAGCCCACAACAAAGCATGGGATGACAGTGGCTGAGATTAAGGTAGTGACTATGGACCTGGACAGACTGGGGTCATGCCTGTGCTTTCTCTTGTCTGGCGACAATGGAGAATGCATGGTTGGTGAGGAGGAAGAGTGGAAGAACTGAGGCATGGAGTAATGGCTTATTTTGCTGGCTGATACAAAGCAGGGGAATGATGGTAATTCCCTGCAAGTATCACTGAGCTGGGGTCCAAGTGGCTGCTGTGACACTGTGCCCTCCTCTCCTTGCGCAGGGAGTACGAGAGCCTGTACAGGAGCCACGTGTGGATCCCCAGCAGCTTGTGCTCGCTCACTGAAAGGCCTCAGTGCGACGTGAGCGACGACATCACCGCCACAGTGCCGTACAACCTCCGTGTCAGGGCCACGCTGGGCTCACGGACCTCAGCCTGGAGCACCCTGAAGCAGCCCTTCAATCGAAACTCAAGTAAGGCCCCGCTCTACCCCACCTTCACCCCAACAGCTCTCCCTTAGGCCTTTCTGCAGCATTAACATAGTCTCGCAAAGCTAGAATGTTGTGAACCCAAACAACTCGTACTGGCGCATTGTGGAAATTGTGAGTCTTTCCCCACATGCTGTCTCTCGCACCCTTTTGTTCCGGAAGCCGTTCCTGACCGTGTCTGTCAGGGCCTGCAGGCAGCAGGGAGGCTGCCACTTTGCACCTGGAAGGAAAGCTGTTCTGCTTCTTTCTCCCCAGGCTTCATAAATCTCACACTGCCTCCCACCTGTACCTCATCACCCCCACGGAACCGGCTGTGTGAGCAGCTTCCCGGTGGAGATGTGTGTACACACTTCACAGAGCCACCAGAAACATTGCTCTTCTACCATGACTGTGAAACAAATGACTTTTCTACTGCAATAGTACCTGGAAAAAGGCTGGGAAAGAGGTGACATAGAAGGCAGAGAGTTGGCCAGACTTGGCTGAGTGCAAGCAACGGCCAGGGCGCACACGGTGATGCGTGCTGGGTGGCCAAGGGGTAGGAAGCAGCCGCTCACACAGAGAAGGAAACCTGAGCATCTCAGCAGAGGACAGCCATGTAGGAGAGGGGCTGGGCCTGGGCTGTTAGAGAGCACGCACTCTGGCTGCTCTGTGGCACGTGAGCTGGGGAGGCAAGGCCTGCAGGGCAACGGAAGGGGGAGTCAGGGTGGGTCCCGATCCCTTGAGGGCTGAAGGGGTGTGGAGGGGAGGAGGATTGAGGTAGAAAGGACAGAACTTCGGGACCAGTTACGGAGGACAGAGCAGCAAAAGGTGGTGATGAACGCAGGGAACCCGGGAGGAGCGGCTGTCCTGGAGGGAGGGGGACACCTGGCTGTGTGCTCCGTGAGACTGACTGTGCTCCATGCTGTCACACCACGGGTGTCTGACAGCCACCTGGAAATCGGATCCTGGGGCTCAGGAAGGTCAAAGCCGGCTACACAACATGGAGTGAGTAGCCAAGGGCTTGGCAGAGAGTGTCACTGTCCAGGGGCAAAATCTGGGGGACAAAGCGAGCCCAAGACAGGATCCTGTGAAACTCAGGGTTTAAGATGTAGAGAGAGGCAAGGAGGGGCGCCAGCGAGTGGCTGGGCAGAGAGAGGGCCAGGGAGGGCCTCCTGATGTGCCCTTGAGAATGGAGGTGGCGACAGTGGTGCAGGGTGGAGGGGTGAGGGAGGTGGGGAGGGGCAAGGCAGCTCCTCCTGTGCCAGCGATGGGGGCAAGAATGTAGCCAGTACGGAGCAGCAGGAAAGGCAAGGGAGGGCTCCCGAGCCTTCTGTTTGCTCTGTGTGGCAGAAGATGCTCCCCGTGCAAGGGCAGAGGAAACCGAGGCAGCAGCTGCAGTGCAGGTGAGTCAGGGGCCACTAAGGAGTGGATGGGGTTGGGCCGACATCAGGAAGAATTAGATGCTGGGGAAGCCCGAGCTAGAAGGGGCTGAGGAAGGTGAAGATGGTTTGAAGGAGACGTTGGTCCTGTGGGGTCAGACAGGTGTGGTGCAAATCCCAGCACGGCCCTCGGCAGCTGGGCCCCTGCCTCCTCGCCCGGAGGAGGCCAAGCAGTTTGCATGGCTGGGTGGTTGTGGGGTGTGATGCTTGGGGCAGCACCGTGCTGTCATGGCGCTCAGCTTCCTGTAGGAATTCTTGGTGGTGGTGTTGTTGCCCTCGGGATGCCCAATGGCGAGCCAGAGGGCAGAGGCGGGAAGGAGCGGGAATGGGACTGTGGAATGGGAGCCCAGTGGAACTGCTGCTGGAGCAGGTGACTTCTCCTCCCACCCCTCCTTCCTGGGTCCCAGGAAGTGGCAGGGGCCCAGCGCCAGGCACTGTTCGAGGCTACGGGACGCTGGAGGGCACTGCAGCGCTGCCTCTGCCTGAGTGTCCACTCACAGCCAGAATCACCTCCCTCTGGCTGCGGGGAGCTCAGGGCTCCAGCCAAGACCATGGCTAGGTGCTGGCTGCTGTTGCTGGAAGGCAGGCCTGGGTCCGAAGGAGAGAAGGGAGTGCCTACAAAACTCCTGGATGGGGGTGAGCAGGAGTAACCCATGCCTAAGGAGACTGGCATCAACAGGGAAAGCTCTCGCTGCAGGGGGAGCTGCCGACAGGGGGTCTGCACCTGTCTCAGAAGGGGGAACGTGTGTTCCCGTGTGACCCTGTGTGGGTGGCGTTAGCAACTGGCTTGCATGGCCGGCTGGTCTCTTAAAGGCTTAGTCTGTCCTTTTCCATCTGAGAAAAGCCACTCCAACTTCTCCCCGGACATGGGAAAAATCTCATTTTAAGGCTCTCTTTAAAAACCTCTCCCACGCTTAAAGGGAAGTCTTGTTGAGAGCAAAGATTTTTTTTTAAGGTTTATTTATTATTTGAAAGGCGGAGTGAGAGAGAAAGAAAGTGCAAGCAAGTGAGAGAGGCTTTCCATGTGCTGATTCACTCCCCACATGGCCACAACAGCCAGGGCTGGGCTAGGCGAAGACAGGAGCCAGGAACTCAGGTCTTCCATGTGGGTGGCAGAAGCCCAAGCACTCAGACCATTTTCCACTGCTTTCCCAGGCACATTAGCAGGAAGCTGGATTGAAAGTGGAGCAGCCTCAGGGGTCTGGTGTTGTGGTATAGTGGGTAACGCCTCTGCCTGCAATGCCAGTATTCCATATGGGTGCCAGTTCGAGACCTGGCTGCTCCACTTCTGGTCCAGCTCCCTGTTAATGGCCTGGAAAAGGCAGCAGAAGATGGCCCAAGTGCTTGGGCCCCTGCACCCACATGGGAAACCTGGAAGAAGCTCCTGGCTTCAGCTTGGCCCAGCCCTGGCCTTTGTATCCATTTGAGGAGTGAACCAGTGGATGGAAGATAGCTCTCTTTTTGTCTCTCTCCCTCTGTCTGTAATACTGACTTTCAAATAAATAAGTAATTCTTAAAAAAAAAAAAAAAAAGTGGAGCAGCCAGAACTTGAACTGGCACTCTGAAATGGAAAGTGGCTATGGGAAGCAGCAGCTGAACCCACAGCACCCATATGGAATGCCTGCTCCCAGGAGCAGAGGTTCTTACCCTCGAGGGCATGATCTGGTCTCAGGAGAGCTTCGGAACCACTCACGCCCAGGGCACGTCCCCAGGGGCCTGGCTTAAGGGATCCTTTGTGGCCTGTCCGTTGGGAGTTTCCAATTCTCGCCAGGCTGTTCCCACATACAGCCAGGGTTGAGATCCTCTAACACCCCACACAAGAGCGGCTGGAAGTGTAGAAAGACATGGGCGCACGTTCTGGCTGCTGGCTGTATGACTCCACCTCTGTTCACCAGTGATAGCATTTGCCTTCTCCAGCTTCCTAGGTGGATTAAGTGAGCCGAGTATACCAAGTGCAGTGAGAGAGGTTCCTGCCCCAACACTGTCAGATTTTTCCCTCTGAAGGGGAACTTTGGGGCGTTTTCTCCAATTCGATTCTCAGTAAAGATGGAGACCAGAGGCCTCCATCAATCACGAGTTGCAAGTGGAGCAGGTGAAGCCTCCTTTCCTTCTGGAGGGGTCTGCGAGGCAGTGCAGGTGGCGCTGTGCGGTGGCACGGAGCTCGGCACTGTGTGACTCCCTAAGGCCCATCCCCTAGCCAGGCAGCCCTCCCATGCCCGGCCATCCATTTTCCCCGAAGGGGTAGGTGAGGGGAAACGCTTTGAGCATTCCCTCCAGGAACAGCCTTTCTGCTGAATGTCCACTGACCCCGACGCGGGAGGCTGTAGCCCAGAGCGCTCCTGACCCCGCTCCCCAACCAAGGCCAACAGCCAGGGTGGCCCTTCTGGTCCTGCGGCGTCTGGCTCTCAGACGCAGGCGTGGCTCCATCAGCAGTGGCAGGGAACCGAGACTGCCCGAGCAGGCCCTTCTGTCGTTGGCCTACCGTTGGGGAAGCATCCACAGGGGCTGCTGGCCTCCCTGTTTGGGGCCTGGCAGCATTAAAGGCGGCGTTTGTGTGCACGCTGGAGTTTCTGGAGTTGATTATTGGACTGGGCAAAAGGCCTCTGACTTGTCAGTAGGCCTCAGTCAGGTTAGAGGAACCCCTAACTCAGAGCACCGTGGCGAAGCCGTGAGCAGGCGGCTGCCTTGCTGATGTACGACATGCAAGTCCCTGCCTCTCATCTCGGAGCTCTCGGGAAGCTCACGCCTGCGGGGCCGGGACAGGCCTGAGTGTTCAGCGTAGATCCGCACCCACGCAGGCGTTTGGCAGCACTAGCAAACAGCATCTGCTCGCTTAGATGAGCCAAGAGAGGAGCAATTTCTGCTAAGACGGAGAGGTAGGGGAAGGAACATGGACCACAACCTTGTAAAAGGGAAAGAGAACATTGACAAGAGTATTTCATCACATTTCCTGAGAATCGGTGCCTCCCGGAGAAGCAACAGAGGACTCGATTGTAGTGAAGGGGTAGAAAAATAAATAAATAAAAAGGTAATTGTAGTTTTTGCTTTTTCTTTTTTCTTTCTTTCTTTCTTTCTTTCTTTCTTTCTTTCTTTCTTTCTTTCTTTCTTTTTTGACAGAGTTAGACAGTGAGAGAGAGAGAGAGAGACAGACAGACAGAGAGAAAGGTCTTCCTTCCGTTGGTTCACCCCCCAAATGGCCGCTATGGCAGGCGCGCTGCGCCGATCCGAAGCCAGGAGCCAGGTGCTTCTCCTGGTCTCCCATGCGGGTGCAGGGCCCAAGCACTTGGGCCATCCTCCACTGCACTCCCAGGCCACAGCAGAGAGCTGGACTGGAAGAGGGGCAACCGGGACAGACTCCGGCACCCTAACCGGGACTAGAACCCGGGGTGCTGGCACCACTCGCAGAGGATTAGCCTAGTGAGCTGCGGCGCCGGCCAGTCTTTGCTTTTTCAATCATTCATTGTTTGGAAAGCATTTAGTGAGCACTTGCTGAGTACAGGAGAGTATTTGTGGACAGGTTCCAGGTGCAGCTGACCCCTCCCATCCGCACAGGGGCTGGCATGTGTCCCCCATGACATGGGCCTGGGAAGCCAGTCCCGTCTGGGGCTGGCTTTAATCCTCTCTGTCTTGCCAACAGCGGTCCTCACGCCCCCTGTGGTGGCGATCTCCAAGGATGGCTTTCACCTGGTGATCGAGCTGGAAGACCTGGGGCCGCACTTTGAGTTCCTCGTGGCCTACTGGAGGAGGGAGCCTGGCGCCAAGGTGAGACTCGCCACCGTGGCCTGGAGGAAGGAGGCACAGGTCTCTGAGGGTGAGCAGGAAAGCAGCGCCTGTATGGCTCCGCGGAGGCGGGTGGCCTGAGGGGCAGCAGTCCAGGGTGGGGAAGCAGGGATGAGAGGAGGCTGACACCCCGCCCCCATCAGTCTTGCCTGCAGAGAGCTGCCTGGGCCCATCCCAGGCCTTCACTGGGAGCCTTTTCAGGCCAGATCTGCTAAAGCATGGGAGCTGCCTCCTCGCCCTAAGCTCTAACCTAATTGCATCTATGACACTTTTTCAATGCATTCCCCTCTCCCCACCCCCAGGTGCTTAGGAGCAGCAGCCCGGGGTGTTTCTGATCAACTGATGATTGCAAAAGTATGAGGCTGGTGCGAGCCTCTCCAGGGTGTGTACCTTGGCAGGCTGCAGAAGTGGGCAGGGAGCCAAGGGCTGGCTTATGAATAAGCCCATCTGATTCTGAATGGGTGGGCCACGCAGAGTGCCTGCACGGGTCGGGTGCTGCCCTCCCCGTGGGAAGGCGGCTGCAGCGTCGGGTGAGTGGGAGCCCAGCTCGCTCGGGGCAGGGTCCACCAAGCAGCAGCGGCAGGAGGGGTGGAGCTCCAGCAAGCACTAGGGACAGTCCAGACCAGTGAAGCTCCGGTCCAAGTTGATGTGGTGGCAAGGTCTAGAGGCACAAGGGAAGACAAGGCTTTCTCCTAAGGACTAATGTGGTGCCTGTTGATAAGGGGCTCTTACAGAAGCTGTGAACAGAGCTGGCTCAGGTGCAGCCTAGCCTCATCACCTGTGGAGGCCTTGCTTCCCCCTGGTGGGTCTCCCGGTTGCCCTCGTTCTGTGGCCTCTCCCCAGCTTATTCCCTGGTCCCTCCTCCCTCCCTCCTACACAAGCCTATGGCTGTCCCAGCCCCTCAAGGCCTCCTAGCCTTGGCTCCCCTTGCTCTGTCCTCTCCTCTTTGTCCCACTTCTTGCTCCAGGTATTCCGTTTCCCAAGACCAAATCCTTAAGAGAGGAATCCGTTTGGTCTTGCTCATTTGATCAGGCCTAGGGGTTACCAGGGGCCAGCTGGCCCCTGACCTCATAGCAGTATCTGGAAGACTGGACACACTCACCACCTGCTCAGCAGGGGGCTGGCAGGGCAGGAGGTCCCACTGGGAACCAGTGTTTACCCCTGTGGGGGACGTGGCATTGCCAGCTAGGCAGAGGGGCCTGAGGAGGGCTGGTCAGGGCCAGGGCAGGAGCAGCATGCCACTCCCTCAGAATTTTGGGGTGCAGCCCACTCCCCACCCTTGGTAACTGGCAGCGCAGGTGGTAAGAAAGGAGCGTGCACCCTGAGTCATATGGGCTCGGCCCAGACAAGCCTCCACAGGCTCAGATGCAGAGCACAGGCCTTGGGGAAGCCGGTGGAGGGGGAGAGGCGGACAGATGGACCGACAGACAGGGAGGTGGACAGACAAGGGAGAGGGGGCACTGCCTGCTAGCTCCACCGCTCCTGCGCACTGATGCCCCTGGTGGGAGAGGCCACCCCAAGCCACTGCTCGGTGAGATGGCCAACATCAGGCTGTGTCCCGATGCTTACCAGAGAGGCCCTCCTTAACTGCCGTTTATGACAGCACCTCCTCATCGCTCGCCTCCTCCTCGCCCCCGTGTTGTTCACAGCCCTTATGTACCTGACACGTGTTTGTATTTTCTGTCTCCCTTGACGTAAGCTCTGTGGGAGCAGGGACTTTGTCTGTCGTATTCAGTGCTGTGTCCTTGTGCCTGGTGTGGTAGCTGGCACAGAGCAGGTACTTGGTGGATAAGAATGAGTGACTGAATGTGTGCACGCACGGGTGAGAAAGAGAGCATCCCTCCCTGGCTCTTCTCGTCCGTGAGGGTCTCTGTGTTTCCCCGTCTCCCAAAGGAACACCTCAAAGTGCTCCGGAATGAGGGTGTCCCGGTGCACCTGGCCACCATGGAGCCTGGGGCCGCGTACTGTGTGAAGGCGCAGACATTTGTGAAGGCCATCCAGAGGCACAGCGCCTTCAGCCAGCCAGAATGCGTCGAGGTGCGAGGTAAGGACGGCCGGCCAGGACCCTGGAGCCAGGTGCCCAGGCGAGTCCCTGGCGCATGCGCAGATGCCTGCATCACTTTGCATTGCTTTTAAAATCAGTCACTCAAGCATGTTTGAAATCCAATCAACATAGATCTATATAAAGTAAGAGGCAAATGTTCCTTTCCCCTCCCCCACCCCACACGCACCCCAGGCGCTTTCCTCTGCAAGCTTGGCATGTAATCTGGCTGTCGTCTGGGTGACAACAGTGCTCTGGCACACAGATGGGACTGCACGCTTCCCCCGTGCTGGGCCCGGCTCATTCTCCCTGGCTTGCATGAGGTGAGCATCTTCTCATTCCGGACATACGGATCCTTCTCACTTTACCAACGTGCATGACAAGTCCACGTCCGGGTGTGCCGAGATGTGCGGATGCAACCTCGCCCTGTGATAAGTGTAGTCTGAGCTTTCCAGTCTTCGCCACTGTAAACCATGCTGCAGTAAACAAGTTTGTGTATGTTCGAATTCTCATTTTAATAGCTGAGTTGCTAATCGACCTTACTGATAGTTCATGCACTCTTTAATGATCCCGTTTTTCGATATTTAAATCATCTCTGTTTGCTTTTGAAGGTGATGCTCATGCTTTCATTGGATGAATGCTTACTGAGCATGGGCTGTGTGCCAGGTCCTGGTCTGTGCCCTGGATAAGGCAGAAAGCCCCTCCCCTTATGGAGCCTACCCTCTGGTTGTGAGGACAGACAATGAACAAGGGAACAAGGGAGGGAGCTTCCCTTGGTGATGTGCCCCATGAAGAGTGTGTCTCAGAGCAGCCCGGGGTGTGGGACGTGGCTGTGCTGCCTCGGGCAGAGGGCGAGGTGGGTTCTGGGGCTGTCCCTCCAGTCTGGATGTTGCCGTGAACTGATCTGCCTTCCTTGGAATGAAAATGGCAGGAGTGGATGGAAGGCTATGAACTTGGGTGTATCTCCTGATGGGGATGGCCCAAACAGTTTCCAAAAGCAAGGAAACACTCCCAGTGCTCCCAGCCACCTGTGGGTCTCTGGCGGCCTCTCCATAGCCTCTGTGGCTGAGCTGCCCTTTCTACTGCGGGCAGCAGCTGGCCCGGAGAGGCTCCAGGGGTTGCTCAAGGTTACACAGGACAAAGAGTTGGAGAAATAACCTCTTCTGCGTCTCCAGATGGTCAGACCCAGCCCTGTCCCATTTATTCCATACAACGGCCCACGCGTGAGCTGGGGTAAGCCACGGAGCCGTTCTTAGCAGACTCCTCTCCTGTATAAGCAGGGCTGCCCGCAGCGTGGGGAGGGACACAGCCTCCAGGTCAACTTAGCAGGCCTAGCAGAGTTCTGGCTGTGTGACTGTTTTCTGAACTTGCTGTTTTCCTCTGCAACAGGAACCCGCCAGGAGCACACTGTGAGACACACTTTGTTTTCGGTTCCCACCCAGCTCCGTTCTGGGCTGTTCCCTTCCAGCCCTCCCCCTCATCCTGCCCGGGGCCTGGCACTCCGCCTTCCTCCTGGCTGTGGTGCCAAGGTACATGCTGACACAGCTCGTCCCTTAGCACATGACGCTCCTCCCCTCCCCTTCCCAGGAAAAAAGATTTGCATCTTCCCCGGGGCCTTCTGGAAACCATGCCTTCGTCTGCATTCTGGAAAGATGGTTCTAATGGTGGTCATTTTAGTCACTCGGGTGCACCTCGACATCGCCGGATGCTGACACCTGCTGCCGAGGCCGAGTGCGGAGCCACCGTCAGGAGACCGCAGGAGGCCCAGGCTCTGAGTTTGCTCTTTGCTGTGGTGCCTGAGCCTCTCGTATCCTTGTGTTCCCAGGAGAGGCTCTCCCGCTGGCGCTCGCCCTGTTTGCATTCGTGGGCTTCATGCTGATCCTTGCGGTGGTGCCGCTGTCCGTCTGGAAAATGGGCCAGCTGCTCCAGTATTCCTGCTGCCCTGCGGTGGTCCTCCCGGACACCTTGGTAATCCTGGTCTCTCTTCCTTGCTGTGTGTGTGATGTGTGTGATGCTGAGCACATGTGCTGGGGGCCTTCGTTAGGCATGGGCACACGTCTCGTGGTTTGCAGGGAAGAAGGCCACTAGGAGGACTTCACTTCTGGCTTAGTCTGTCTGTGTTGCTGTCACAGAAGACCACAGACCTGTGACTTATAAACCATGGTTCATGGTTCTGAGGGCTGCGTCATAACTCCCTGGAAGGCATCACGTGGGTGGGAGAGGGCGAGAGATCAAACTCTCATCCACAAGCCCTTTTTTCGTTTTTGAAGATTTATTTTTATTTGAAAGAGTTACAGAGAGGCAGAGGCAGGGCAGGGGAGGGAGGGGAGAGAAAGGTCTTCCATCTGCTGGTTCACTCCCCAAAAGGCCACAACAGCCAGGGCTGGGCTGATCCAAAGCCAGGAGCCAGGAGCTTCTTCCAGGTCTCTCACTCCAGTACAGGGGCCCAAGGATTTGGGCCATCTTCTACTGCTTTCCTAGGCTATAGCAGAGCGCTAGATCAGAAGTGGAGCAGCTGGGACTTGAACTGGCACCCATGTGGGATGCTGGCACTACAGGCGGTAGCTTTACCAGCTATGCCACAGCACCAGCCCACAATGTTGTTGTTTAGATCAGCTTTTCCCCTATTGATTAATTGTGTAGCTGTTCTATCAATTGTTGAGAGAGGGATGTCAGAATCCCAACTGTGAGTGCGGATGTGTCTGCTTCTCCCTTTATGTTGGTTTTCCCTTCGTGTCCGTTCCTACATGCATTTCTTTCCATGAGGCATTCAGCTTCTATTTTTCTTTACCACGCCCCTCCCCAATTTTTAATTTAATTTATTTGAAAGGCAGAGAGAGAGATTTTTCATCTTCTGGTTCACTCCCTCAAATAGCTGCAATAGCCATGGCTGGCCCAGGCTGAAGCCAGGAACTCCATCCAGGTTTCCCATGTTGGGGTGGCAGGGGCCCAAGTATTAGACCATCTTACGCTGCTTTCCAAGGCACATTATCAGGGAGCTGGATCAGAAACAGAGTAGCTGGGAGTTAACCCAGCACTCTAATATCGGATGCTGGTGTTGGCAGGCGACGGCTCAACTCACTGCATCACAGCATCAGCTCCTACCACCCTACCCCCGACTTTTAAAGTAGACAGATTCTTTGCCTGTATGTGTTTCTCCACGGTGTAATGTGAGAAACAGATCACCAGTGCCCATTACGTCCCACATGTGTCCTGGAGCTGGGTGTCACCACCACGGTCTCCCAACTCCCTTTGCCCCACCGTCTCCCCTGCAGCCCAGCCTAGCTGCCTGTCAGCATGGGCATTACCTCTAGATTATCCTCCAAACTATTAGAAAGCAATTTCTCGCCATCCTTGGAGAATCCGCTCATCTTTCCAATTAAACCATGAAAAATAACCAGCTAGAAACCCTTGACAATTCTTCAAGAAACCCTCCTGAGTTTGTGTAATTGTTCTGTGTGGATGAAACATTTCTCGTCCACTGCCACAGTTCACAGTTGGTGGTGGTTGCATTCTGAAATACGCTAGTAGGAATTTCTTTTCATTAAAGTTTGTATCACCAAGCAAGAATCGAAAGCAACAATATTTAAGCCAGGAAAATTATATCAGTTCTACCCAGTGTATAGTTAAAAATATAATTTGTTTTCCCTGTCTTTTATCCGTAGTCGCTTCATATGAATGGGCACTTTGGTGCTGAAGAGTCTCCCTTTCTTTTCTGTGACTTTCTTTTATTCTTTCCCTTCTTGCTGTCATACTCCAGCGAATGTGGGTAGCAATGGGATAGGAGGTCCACAGTGATAATTCTTCCATGAACCATCGCGCATATGGCCTTGAGCTCTCCATAGACAGTGGAGTTTGTGGGCTCTGACGCCTCTGAAGCCAGAGCATGCAAGGCAGTGAATGTAATTCAACGGCGAGAGGAGGTGGGGCCGTGGCAGCCATGTTCCGTCTAAGAAGCCAGCTGCTTCTCTGCTCCCACAGGAGCTGCCAAGAGGGATCGTGAGCTGGTATTGCCAGGGCTCCGCATTTTAAGTGAGAAACCTAAAAATTCAGGCATTTATGAGAAATCTCCTGATTTTTAAAAAACCGTTTGCATTTTTTTAAATTTATGTGTGAGAGAGATATTTATTGGCTGGTTCATTCCCCAAATGCCCACAATGGCCAGGACTGTGCCAGGGCAGAAGCTGGGAGCTCGAGCTATCACCTGCTCTCTCCCAGGGTCTGCAGTAGCAGGAAGCAGGAGTCAGGCGCTGGAGGTAGGCAGCAGACACAGGCACTGTGATATAGGGTATTGGTCTCCTAACTGGTGTCTCTGACGCTGGGCTAAGAAATCTCCTGACTTTTAAAGGTTGAAAACTAGTTCAGTTGTTTAAAAAAGCATCCGCTGAGCCTTGTTTGGAAGTTAGTTCTGCTCTGTGGGCCAACAGTGTGATACCGTCTGAAACTGGGAGACCGTGCCGTATAGTGTTCTAGCGCTGCACCATTTCAGAGCTGCTAGTCCTCCGTGACGGTGAAACATTTGAAATGGGGTTGGTCCAAATTGAGGTGTGTTGTAAATACCAAATGCATAACTGATTTTGAAAACTCAAAAGAATCTAAAACATTTCAGTAACACTTTGATATTGATTACATGTTAAGATGAACATATTTTGCATATATTTATTAATACATATAAAAATTAATTCCATGTATTCCTTTCTACCCTTCAAAACGTGCTGCTAGGTTTTTACACAGCACGTGGGGTTCATGTTGTATTTCTCTTGGACAGCATCGCTCTGGATTTTAAAACATAGTCAAGGGTAACACTGTGGATGTGGGCGGCCAGTGTCCTGCGGCTCTGACTGGACACCGCACGCAGCGAGCCCTGCTTGGATTATCCTTGCCTGGGGCTGGTTGCCAGTGGACACTAACAGAAAACCCCTGCAGCCGCCCCTTTCCCAACAAGGCTGAAGTCTCCTGGGACAGTGAGGTGGAGGAAACCCTTGGGAGATGCCCTTGGGAGTGAGGACAGGAAGGGCCATGGACGGTAAATGCAGAAGAACCTAGCAGATTCGGTGGTGTTCAGCAAGCTAGCAATGGGTGGGAGGGCGCCTCTGATGACTCCCTGGTACAACCAGCAATGATCGCTGTATCGTGGCAGCTGGGAGAAGATGGCAGGAACATGACCCCCGTTGAGCCCTCTCGGGGGTGGACTTTGACCTGGGTGCTGGCCATAAACCACCCCAGACCAGCACATTCTTCTCAGAGTTGTCCAATGGAAGGAGGCTAGATTTCTTTTTTTTTTTCTTTTTTTATTTATTTTACAGGTAGAGTTATAGACGGGGGCGGGGGGGGGGGAGAGAAACAAAGAAAGAAAAAGAGAAAGGTCTTCCTTCCGTTGGTTCACCCCCCAAATGGCCACTACGGCCGGTGCTGTGCCGATCTGAGCCAGGAGCCAGGTGCTTCTTCCTGGTCTCCCATGTGGGTGCAGGCGTCCAAGGACTTGGGCCACCCTCCACTGCCCTCCCGGGCTACAGCAGACAGCTGGACTGGAAGAAGAGCAATCGGGACTAGAACCCTGAGCCCATATGGGATGCTGGCACCACCGGCGGAAGATTAACCAAGTGAGCCACAGCTAACCAGAGTTATAGTTTTTGTGGGGCAGGGTCTCAGAAAGCGAAGCATCGACTAAGCAGGGCCACCAGGGAACAGGATCAGCCACTTGGGAGCTGATCTCAGTCAATCAGGAAGCCTCTGGTCTGGGGGCTGCCGTCATCTTTGGGGCCTTTGTTGCTTGGAAGTTAACTGATCAGGGAGTTGGCCTCGCAGCTGAGAGGTCTACAACTCACGTGGGAGTGCTTAGGCTTGATTCCCGGTGCCAGCTCCTGACTCCAGCTTCCTGCCAGTGCAGATCCGGGAGGCAGCGGTAAGGGCTCAAAAAATTGGTTTCTGGCCACCTATGTGGGAGATGTGGATTGTGTTCCTGCTTGCCAGCTTTGGCTTCAGCCTCCGCTGGGCCCCAGCCCAACCCTGGCCACTGCAGACATGTGTGGGGTGAGCCAGTGGATTGGATCTCTTTCTGTCTCTCTAACCACTCCCTCTGTCTCTCTGCCTCTCAAATAAATAAATAAAAAAAATAAGAGAGCAAACTGATCGATTAGTTGGAATGTTTGTGGTGCTCTTTCCTCCTGTTACTACTGTGAGCATTTAATGAGTACTAACGGAAATTATTTTTCAGAAGATAACCAGTTCAGCCCAGAAGTTGATCACGTGCAGAAGGGACGATGAGGACGCCTGCGCCACGGCTGTGCTGTCTGCCGAGGAGCTCTGCGGGGTGTGGCTGTAGCAGGCGTGGGCAGGGCCGGGGGAGCCTGAGAGCCTGGGCGGCACCACACGGGAGCCGTGGAGGGAGGCTGTTCTTTTGGTTTCCTCCACGGATGATGGACAGGGAAGCCTGCTGTGTCCACATCTCAGAAGCAACTATGGGGTGGACTGGCTTGATGGATAAAGCACTGGCTGGGGGCTCGGAGAGTGACTGGCGTTGCTGTTCCCAGCAGAGTAACCCTGGGGATGGCCCCCAAATGGCCCATTTTCTCACCTGTAATGAGGGGATTAGCTGCCTGCCTCTCAAACACACACATTCTCTCTTGTGGGTATATAAAAATCTCCCCAGACTCCAGGAACCCGGTGACCCTGCCTCCCTCTGGCGATAGGTTCTGCTTTCCTGGAGAGCAGGATACAGATGTGGAATAAGAGCAAGGACCCCATGCCCCGTGCACTTGGAGGTCACACTGTCCTTGAAGAGGAGAGGAAGGATGGGTGCAGGGTGACTGGCTCAGCCAGTGACAGTGGGTGACCCAGAGGGTGGCTTCAGCCCCACTGACCGAGGACCCACATAAGCACTGGGGGCCCACGGAATACTGCAAAGTGCAGACAGCGTGTGCATGCTGGGGGCTGCAGGTGGGCGTGTGTGTATTTGAGAAGAGGGCGCAAGGATGTGGATAAGTGTGGTGTTTGCTGTGTTCCTCTGTCCTCTAGAGCTGCTACGATGCAGAAGGAAAAATAAAAGGGGGTTGCCCTAGGCCGTCTGTTCGGTTCCTACCGAAAGTGGTCTTTAGAGTTCTAGTCGCATTGTCAGCTTGAGTGCAGGGAGGCTGGCAAGGTTTCCTTGGGATAGGAGTGGGGGTACGCCCAGGAAGAGTGGGGGGTACGCCCAGGAAGAGCTAGGAGTGGGGGAAGGCCCAGGCAGAGCCGTCTGTCCTCTGCTCACAGACTCTGGGAGTCCACAGCCAGGGCTGCCTCGGGTGGTGCAGCCTCCAGCTGCAGGAGAAGCTGGCAGAGGTGGCTGGCAAAGGCTTCCCCTGGTCCGGTCCTCCTGGGCACATCCTGGAGGTCCTGTGGGAACCCTCATTTCCCTGAGGCAGCGTGCGTGGGGGATCCCCAGCCGTCTCAGTCTGTTCCTGTGGGACCCGCCTCTGGATGCCCTCTCCCTCGCCTCTGTGCTGCCAGGTGAGCCAAGGCCAGAGAGGGGAGGGAGGGAGGGAGGGAGGGAGGGAGTTTCCTGAAGGGTGAAGGGATTGATGAGCAAGCCCTATGGCTCCACATTTTAGCCTCTACCTCCCCCAGGTCGGGGGCTCTAAGTTGGTTCATCTCAACCCCCACTTCTTAGGCCCCTTCCAGCCAGCTGGGGTGGAGAAGGTCTAACCGCTTCAGCCAGGTGTTTCCCTTCTACAAGACAGAGGCCCAACCCCAGCCCCACCTGGTGGGGTCTCCAAGAGACAAGAGGGTGGGCTGTGCCCCGGGCTACGAAGATTCCTTTGGAGCATTTTGTATGCTATTGTGTTGTTTGTTACAAAGTGTGTGTTAATTTTACATTTGGCCTACACTGGAAAATGTTCAGTTTTCAAAAATAAAGTGTACTTTTACATGGCTCATCACCTCCTCCCTCTTCCCTGCCCGATTCCCTGGGGTTCTGCCCAGGCCTGGGTCTGAGAAAGGACCCCTGACCTCCCTCTGCTCGAATCTCTCTCAACTTGTCCCAGGGCCCGTGCATTGCAGTGGAACAGGGAACAAATAATCACATGATAACAGTAACCACGGGGTAGCTGTTTGGCTTAGCTGTTAAGATGCCTTCATCCCACATCAGAGGGTTAGATTCTTGCCTCTGGCTCCTGACTCCAGCTTCCTGCTGATGCACACCCTGGGAGGCAGCAGGTGATGCCTGAAATGCCTGGGTCCCTGTCACCCATGTGGGAGACCTGGATTGGTTCCTGGTTCCTGGCTTCGGCCAGGCCAGTCTTGGCTGTTGCGGGCATTTGGGGAGTGAACAAGCTGATGGGAGTGTTCTCTCTCTCTCTAAAAAAAGTCAGTTTTAAGTGAGCTATCTAGTATATTGGGGGTTTATACACTTTAAGGAAAAATGAAAGGCAGAACAGAAAATATAGCCTTCTAAGAATCATTGAGTGGAGACAACAGAGCAGAACTGTCAGATAAGTCCTTCATAATCACCTGTGTGAGAGATTAGGGGTGATTCTCACGGGATGGAGGGCCTTAATTCTGTCAGGGTTATTTGAATATTTATACATCCCAACTGGTCAACTTAAAAATTAGGCTGCTGGGGCTGGCACTGTGGCATAATGGGTAAAGCCGCCACCTGGGACACCGGCATCCCATATGGGCGCAGGGTCTATGCATCCCTGCTGCTCCTCCTCCAATCTGGCTCCCTGCTGATGGCCTGGGAAAACTAGTGGAAGATGGCCTGAATGGTTGGGCCCCTGCTGCCCATCTGGGAGACTCAGGGGGAGCTCCTGGCTCCTGGCTCCTGACATTGACTTAGCCCAGCCCTGGTTGTTGCAGCCATCTGGGGAGTGAACCAGTGGATGGAAGACCTGTCTCTATCTCTCCCTCTCTCTGTAACTCTTTCAAATACATAAATATATATATATATATTTTAAAAACTAGCTTGCTATAGATGTCATGAATTTCAGGTCTCGCTGTGGTTGCCTCGGCAGGGCCAGAGCGAATGGCTGCGCGGGCCTTCCACAGCCAGAGGTCAGACGTTCCCCGACTCTGCAGCAAAGCAGCGGGGCAGCACTTCCTTGGGATACGCAGTCTGAAACCCAAACTGTGTCCTATGTTTGTACTGATTGTTGTGCGTGTGTGTGTGCATGAGCTATTCTCTTATCAGGCAGAGAAATCATTATTTATTTATAATTATTATAACCCAGATTTCAGTATTAGTGAAAAGGCAGGTCAGTGCTAGATCTCAAATTTGAGCAAGCACAGTGCACTGTTAGAACTGAATCAAATGTGTTCATATGGGGGGAGGACCTTTGTTCAACATTACCTTAAAAATAGTTTAAATATTTCACCTCCATAAGGCACCCCAATGCCCATGTTTTGGTTTCTAATGTTCTTTTCCTCTCCCAAGGAGCCAAGGTTTCCTGGAGCAGTTACTGATTCCTTGTCTGGAGATGAAAGGCACATGGGGACCCTAGAATGACTGGCTACCCCTTGTTGGGCCAGAAAGCAATGCTTGAAGTCATTGGGTCATTCAAAAATCACACAAAAGGCAATCTAAAAAGAGTCGCTACTGTCCAAAGTTGGGACGGTATGGGCATCAGGAGAATGCTGGCTGGCACCAGCTGACAGGATAAATGTGGGAAGTCACCAGTCCGTGATGACAGCCAACAAGAGCAGAGCAAACACAATGAACAAAGAAGGTGCCTTGGTTAGGATGTGTTGCTTCTTGTTATGCAGTTTCGTTGGGCTTCTGTGTCAATGCATGACATTTGTAAAAAAAAAAAAAAAAAAAAAAAAAAGCCTACCAGAAGGCACTTTTTCCTGCCAACTCGGCCCAAGCCACCACTGCCTCCCACCTGAACGCCTGTAACACCCGCCCCCCACCCCCCCCACTTCCCCCTGGGCACCTGCTTGGCGCCTGTCTGCCAGGGGATTCTGTGGCCCAGTTCTTTCAAGTTCCTCCTACACACGGATTGCAGACTCTCTTAAAAAAAAAAAAAGATGTTTTCTCTTATTTTTTGTGTGCCCTATTTTATTCTTGGGCTACAGTAACTCAACTCCTGTGGGTTCAGATCTCAGTTTGCGTTCGCTCTGTCCTGACCAGATCCCTTCCGGGAGCCCACCTGGAAGGAAGGACCTCATTATGTCCACGGGTGTCTGGCGCCACCTTGTGTTGAGTTTGGGAATATTTCTTTTGTTGTCACTTCGCGCTTCCTGGACTTGCTGGGTGGAGGAAGGAAAGCTAAAATTCTCAAGGGCTTGGACCCTAACAGACCTCCATAATCACTAGTGGAGTGGGCCCTTTTGGGCCACCATCTCTTTGCCCCGTGCCTGTATCTCTCTCTCTCTCTCTGTATTGTTCCCAGCATGTCCTAGGGGGCTGCCCTGTGCCCCAGGCTCTCCCTTCCAACCCCTTGGCTTCTGCCTCCCTCCCTCCCTCCCTCACTCACTTTGTTGGTCTTTCCTCTGTGCTGCCATTCCCTACTTCTGGGGAAAAAAAAAGAGACTGATTTGGGACATCTGCTGTCCTATTTCCAGCCCACTCCTGGGCTAGGCTGGCTCTTTTACTCCTTGAGCTGTGAGTTTATAGAAGGGAATTTGTCTTTGTAAATTCTGACTTTCAAATAAATAAATAAATCTTAAAAAATAAAACCAACCTGGCTGTTGGCATACTGAGTGCCTGCACAAGCCTCAGTAACTCCTGCATTTTGCATCTGTACTGAAAACCTCTCATCTGCGGTGGGCCTTTGGACCAGCAGTTAGGCCTGCTTCTCCCATCAGAGTGTCTGGATTGAGTCCGGGTGCTGGCACCAGCTCCTGAGCCAGCTTTCTGCGAAGGTGCACCCTGGGAAGGCAGCAGATGATGGCTCAGGTGGTCAGGCTCCTGTCACCCACCTGGGAGACCCACCTTGAGTACCTGACTCCTGGCTTTGGCAGCAGTGGACTGTGGGCATTTGGGGAGTGAACTAGTGGATGGGAGCTGTCTGTCTGTCTCTCAAAAAAGACAAAAGCAAACAAAAATAGTCATCTGGGAAGCAGCCACACCCATCCAGAGTTCCTGGACTTGCATGCAAATCTTTTACTAAATTGCGTCACTGTACGGCTACGCCCATGGAAAAACACTGACTTGGCAGGAGCCCGTTGCGATCTCACACCTCCACTGTTGCCCCACCATCCTGACTTGAGTTTTGCATCTTGCAGTTGGAAATAGAACCGAATAGGACATCCCCAGCCCTCAGATTCAGCCTCAATTAAGGAGGCCAACGAGGTGGACGACCGAATTCTGGCTGCACGCACAGAATTTAATTTAGCAGATGGCAGCAACTAGATGGCGACCTTGAATTAGGAGCAACTTCGAACAGCCCGATTGTAATTTATGAGATAATCTCTTTTTAACACAAAAGGATTTGTCCACTTACAAACATTTTGGAAAGCTCTAAACATTCATCGCAGTAGAAGTGGCATCTCGAGACTTCTGAGTACCGTCTGCTTGGAAATATGCCCTCCAAACAGGAGGCGCCTGGCGGCTGAGAGTCTGAAATGGGTTGGGTTGGCTTTGTAAGGGTGTTGGGAATACAGTTTGTGGACTTTTAGCCGTGCAGACTGGTGACGCTGGATGCCTGTTTGTGGAATTAGAAAGCGTATGAATTGCAGTGTTTTTAAAACCAGCAGGTCACTGCCTGTCCTGCATTCCCACTGCCTTTCTCACCTTCCCTTCTGCCCTAAATTCCTTCTTCCTTTATTTAAATTTTATTTCTAAAAAGATTTTTATGTATTTATTTGAAAGGAAGAGTCAGGGGAGAGAAAGAGAGAGAGAGGGAGGGAGGGAAGGAAAGGGAGAGAAAGAGGATGAGAAACTTCTGTCCATTGGTTCATGCATGCCATCCAGGTCTCCCACAGGAGTGGCAGGGACTCAAGCACTTGGGCCTTCATCTGCTGCCTTCCCAGGTGCATCAGCGGGGAGCTGCACTGGCAGTCGTGTGGCTGGGTTTCCAACCGGCGCTCTGATGGGAGGCACGGGAGGTGCTGCAGCAGTGCCTTCATCTGTCACACCACAATGCCGGCCCTTCTTCCTTTATTTTACTAACAGGTTTTAAACTTAGAACGAGCCGGCGCCGCAGCTCACTAGGCTAATCCTAGTTCAGTCCCGGTCGGGGCGCCGGATTCTGTCCCGGTTGCCCCTCTTCCAGGCCAGTTCTCTGCTGTGGCCAGGGAGTGCAGTGGAGGATGGCCCAAGTGCTTGGGCCCTGCACCCCATGGGAGACCAGGAGAAGCACCTGGCTCCTGCCATCGGATCAGCGTGGTGCGCCGGCCGCGGCGGCCATTGGAGGGTGAACCAACGGCAAAGGAAGACCTTTCTCTCTGTCTCTCTCTCACTGTCCACTCTGCCTGTCAAAAAATAAAAAAAAAAAAAATAAAAAAGAAAAAGAAAAAAACTTTGAATGATAAATTTATTTTTTAAAAAATATTTTATGTGAAAGTCAGAGTTACACATACACAGAGAGAAGGAGAGGCAGAGAGGTCTTCCATCCACTGGTTTGCTCCTCAATTGGCCGCAATGGCCGGAGCTGTGCCAATCCGAAGCCAGGAGCCAGGAGCTTCTTCCGGGTCTGCACGTGGGTGCAGGGGCCCAAGGACTTGGGCCATCCTCCTCTGCTTTCCCAGGCCTTAGCAGAGAGCTGGTTAGGAAGTGGAGCAGCCGGTCTTGAACCAGCGGCCATACGGTTAGCCGGCACTGCAGGCAGCAGCTTTACCTGCTACACCACAGCACCGGCCCCCTGAATGATAAATTTAATTTTTGGTTGTCAAAAGCCAGCTTCAAGTTGAAGGACTGATTAAAACAAAACAAAACAAAACAAAACAAAACAAAACAAAACAAAAAACAACTTGGGCCCAGGGTATGGTTCT